TCTCTTTTGTCTGTTCCTCTCTCTTCTCTGAGGTGTAGTCTAGTACCATCTGGTAAAGATGATCAACCCATTCACACTACGATTACTAGAGCTGATCCTGGAGTGTATAGGATACAGTGTAACCCTTCAACCAACGGTACTCACACAGTAAAAGTACAAGTATATGATGTACACCTTGAGGATACCTCACTAGTCATCCCTATCAATCCTTACCTTGATAACATCACTCCAGTACATACTATAACTGAACTAAAATGCCCAGTAGGAGTTGCTGTAAGTGATAATAATCTTGTTATAATAACTGAGTTTAGTAGTAGCTGTCTAACAATACTGAATAAAGAAGGAAAGGAATTGAAGTCTTTAGGAGGGAAAGGAGGAAGTTGCAATATCGAGTTTTCCTGTCCTCGTGGTGTAGCCATTACTCCAGACAAATTCATTCTTGTATCTAGTGATCACAGGATCCAGAAGATAAGCATGGATGGAGACCTTATAACATCAGTTGGTGAGGAGGGCAGTGGACCACTACAATTCAGTGCTCCTGCTGGTATAGCCATTTCCATAACAGGGCATTTTTATATTGTTGATAGTGGTAATCATCGTGTACAGATCTTGAATCCTGATCTAACCTTCTCTCATTCATTTGGTAGTAAAGGATCAGCTAATGGACAGTTTAAATATCCACGTGACATTGCTGTTGACAGTCAAGGATTAGCTTATGTTGCTGATAGGGATAATCATCGCATTCAGAAGTTCTCTCCAGATGGAACTTTCATTGCTCAATTTGGCAACAAAAGATTTGGTCCTGGTCGGCTTTACAATCCTTATGGTATAACAATAGACACTGCAGCTACTGGTCTAGTGTATGTTAGTGAATGGGGTTATAGTCGTATCTCAGTCTTCACTAGCGATGGTGTCTTTGTTAGCTGTTTTGGAAAGAACAGTAGTGGTGTTGATGCATTTCTTCATCCTTGTGGATTAGCATTTAATAATACTGGGTTCTTGTATGTTTGTGATCATGGTAAAAACAGCCTTATTATTTACTGATTCGCTAAAATAATTTTTATTTTCATTTTAAAGTTTTTCTTATAGTAATAATCTTGTTATTAATGATCTACATTTTGCAGGTATTAATTTTATGCTTCATGAAAATTATGCACAAACTGATTCACAATTAATTTAATTTTTTTAATAATAATTTATTATTAGTCTAAATTAATTTTATGCTTCATAAAAGTTATGAACAAACTGATTCACAATTAATTAAGTGTTTTTGTAATAATAAATTATTGTTAATCTAAATTAATCTTATGCTTCATTAAAACTTTGCAAGAAACATGATTCACAAAAATTAACTTCAAAAATTACTAGTGCTTGCTCCCATAACATGATACAAAGTAATGATTGATTTCTTTAACAAAAAAAGTGCAAAAAATAACTTCCAATAAGAAATTACTGATAAACTGTATTAGGATAATGATAAATGAATGATTGATGTGGAAAAGGAAAAAAAGAGGGGAGAGAGAAAGGGACACAAAAAAGAAATAAGAGAATAAGATACTTCATTGTTCAATCAGTAATACTAGAAAACAATTGTACTTAAACTGTTCTTGCTCTAGTTGCTATCTATCAAAGGAAACTTATTGAATTTTATTTTGAGTTTGTTTCTTTCTTTGAGTTCCTCCTCCATTGCCCGAGGGTCCTGTTTTGCTTCGGACACTGTCACATTTGTGTCTCTTAAAGTCTCCGCTCCTTCGGAAGGTCCTACGACATTTTTGACACTTTATGGGAGCCTGAGGTATGAGACCTGTCTTGCTTCTAACACTATCACACTTGTGTCTCTTTAAGTCACCCGATCTAAGAAATAACAGAAAAGTAAATTTTAAAAATTAACTATAAATTTTTGTTGATTAACAAAGCCGCAAAAGTCATAAAAGACTGGGATGAATCCTACATAGTAACATTACCATGTTACTGTACAGGGACTTTGGCCTGATTTTGGAGCAACTTTAAAATTCATAGAAAATCAAAACTTGATCGGAAGCAGCTCAAACTTTCCATGTAACATAAGAACATATATATGCATCAGGAGAAGTTATTAAAATAAAGAATTCTCACCTTTTCATTTTTGGCAAAATTTGGCCAAAGTTACTGTACTATAGTACAGGGATATTAGCCTGATTTTGGAGCTACTTTAAAAATTCATAAAAAATTCAAATTTGATTGGAATCAACTCAAACTTTCTACGGAGTATAAATACATGTATGTATATATGTATCAAAAAAATTATTTAAAATGGAGAATTCTTTCAATTTCAAATTTGGCCAAAATTCCTCTACCATAGTACAGGGATGTAGTATACTCATTCTGGGCTCACTGACAATAAAATTAATGGAAACTCTAACCTATTAAATGCACGTCCACATATATGACACTTGAAAGAGGCGGGGCCAGGAGGAGCCTGACCACTCCCACCACCTGAAGCTCCTCCCCCTTTACTCCTTCCTGCATTACACTTGTGTCTCTTCAAATCTCCCGTCCTCCTGAAGGATCTCTGGCAATAAGGACAAGGATATACGGGACGGTCAATGGCGGGCTGGGGCTGGTGGTAATTGGCCATTGAAGGCATCGACGCCATCTCTTTCCCTCTCCGTCCGGTCTGTAAACAGATTCCTTCAAATAAAATTTTGCGGTATCATTCCGTAAATGTCATTCCAAATATCCGTATACTTTAAACACGTGCGTTCACGTGGTCATTTTTATAAAGAGTACAATTATTTTTTTAAGTCAAAAAAGTATTAGATAATAGCAACACACATTACATATAATACAAAATTAACACACAATCACTCGCTCATATTTTTAAATAATTTATTATTTATAATTAATCTTCATTTTGCGTTTCGATGGGCGTGACATCTGGGGGTGTGGTCTCAGGTTTATCTTCGGATTCCAAACATTCTTCTTTATCTTGGACCTCTAGGTTCTAATTAAAGTGGGTGTGGTTATGGTGTTGCTACGGAAACAGGAGACGTACTTTAAGTTTCTGACTGAGGTCTGTCCTCTCTGTCTGGAGGGCTCTACAAAGTTTCTCCAGTTTATCGTTTTTAGTTTTTAAAACTTTAACAGTTTCAACGTGTTGTATACGCTAGGGAAAAAGGAAAAGAGAAAAATGGAGACAAAAATAGGAGGGGAAAAAAAGGAGAGAAAGTACAAAAATGGTGGCAATTTTTTCATGGACTAGCATTATTTTACAAGGAGGCATCAGAATTCAGAATTCATTAAGAAAAAAGCATGGGCTATAGTACAGGGCATTTTTCGGAATTTGCAATATTTATAATAACTTGAAAAAACAGCTCAAAATACTACACACATGTTACAATATTATAGCATCAATAAATTATGTATCAGAAATTTTTTCAAAAAATCATGAACTACATAGTACAAGTCATTGTATACTTACTTCATCAGCCATTTCTAACAAGCTCCTGTTACACTTCTCATATTTCAGTTTCCAAGTATTGGACTCTTTCTCTAACTCTCCTATTGTTTTAGCCATCTATAATTATAATAATAATAAAATATTAATATTATTCATTGAGGGGTGTGGTCAGACACGCCCAAGCACAAACCTTATCCATCTCTTTTTTGAATGTTGAAAATACTTCGTTACTTTTTGTGAGGGTCGACTGAAATTCTTCAAATTTTTCCGAATAAATAGACAACTGGGAATGTAATAATAAAAATAATAATTTATTTTGTTCACTTTTAATTATAAATAATAATAATAGATAATAATTATAATAAAATTAATAAAATAACGCCCACTCACTTGTCCCTTTAGCTCCATTTCTTGCATGGAGAGATCATCACATTTCTTCTGTTTTTCCATCATCTCAGACAAGAGCTAAACAATATTAATGATAGTACATACCAGTACATGTACTCATCTCATGAACAATAATATAACAATAATAATGTACTGATACTTGTAATGACACAGTTTAAAATAACAGCCTTTTTATGATTTCAAAGCAACTTTAAAATTTGTAAAAAATCCAATTCTGATAGGAATCAGTTCCAAACTTTCTACGCAACATAAGTACATGTATATGTATCAAGAAAAATTATAAAAATGAAAAATTCTCACCTTTTCATTTTTGGCAAAATTGAGCCAAAATCCCTGTACTATAGTACAGGGGCTTTGGCCCGATTTTTAAACAATTTAAAAAAATCCAATTTTGA